AGCTAATAAACGCAACAGAACTGTATCTGCACTGTCTCGGGGAGTTCTTTGGGCTGAACCTCACACAATGCATCTAGATCAGTGTTTCTCAACCTTGGCAACTTGAAGACGTGTGGACTCTGGGAACTCCCAGAATTCCCCAGCTAACCCTGCTGGCTGGGGAATTCTGGGAGTTGAAGCCCACACGTCTTCAAGTTGCCAAGGTTGAGAAACACTGATCTAGAGTTTAGGAACCTCTGAAGATTCAAGATGATTGAAGAAATAAAAACAAACAAACAGAACAATCAAGAGGTAGAGTTGGAACAATTCTCTGTATCACATGAGAAAACTTTATAGCAAGGATTCCCAGTTGTGGCCCAGAGATCACTGGTCCTCCATGAGGATAGTCCGGTTGGCCCCTGGTGCAAGCACTCTACACATCTAATATAGTACAAATTACAAGAAATCACCAAATCAGACAATATGTTGGCAACTTCATAACCTTCCCAACAATTTTGGATGGGACCATCAACATCTCTTGCAGTAGCTAACTTGAAAGATTTTGGTCCTGTTATTAAATACTTTATACATTTGCATTTCATTTTGGAAACCTGTAGATATCATTAGGGAAGGAGGACACATGTACTATGGTATCTGCAGATAACCCATTGCCAAACTCTGGCCTATGCTGCGGTCTTCAAAAGCTTCCAATGATAATGTTGTGATCCACATAAAGGAAAAAAATTAGGAACCACTGCCTTATAACATTTGAAGATTGCTAAATTAGAAATAAAAAGAGAAAGATGAGGGACATAGGATGGAGGGATAAATAATGTATGATATGGAGAACGTGGGTGGAAAAAGGCTTTCTCCATTTCACATCAGATAATAGAAGAAATATCTACATTCCTGCACATAATGGGAATTCAGTGCTACAAAATGTCGGCTGCTCTCAGTTTGGATGGCTTTAACAGGGAGTTAGACAAGTTGATGGAGGATAAAAAATATATAGAAGGAGCCAGCTTAGGCAATGGATTTTTAAGGTATTTATGGCAAAAGGAAGGAAGGAAGAAAGGAAGAAAGGAAGAAAGGAAGAAAGGAAGAAAGGAAGAAAGGAAGAAAGGAAGAAAGGAAGAAAGAGAAATTGAAAGGACATATTATAAAACAACGTTTGTTAAAAATATGGAATCATTTAAAAACAAGAATATGTCTGGTGACCTCACCATTAGCTTCAGT